TTCTACCACACAGAAAGCTTGAAACAATACACTGACTTCAAAAGGCTTTTATGCTTCGACGTATTGAGGTTTAAGAGCTACATTGAAAAGGGTGGGAGTTTTGTGTAAATAAGTGGCTTCTTGAATACAAGTTATCGATCTATAGCCATCCGTGTAGTAACGAATTAAGAATACGGATTGTCATCACCCCTATTCATCCCATGGATGTGGTAGGAGCCGACTAAAGGAACAAACTACACAGGACAACAGCGCTGCAAATCTATACTAATCTATACTAATATTATAAAGCTGAAGAGTTTGTTTGTTTGTTTGAACGCGCTAATCTCAGGAACTACTGGTCCGATTTGAAAAATTCTTTCAGTGTTAGATAGCCCATTTATCTAGGAAGGCTATAGGCTATATATCATCACGCTAAGACCAATAGAAGCGGAACACCAATGAAGAATGTTTCAAAAACGGAGAAAAGTTATTACTATTGAGAGACGCAGACGAAGTTGCGCGGGTCAGCTAGTAGACAGATAAAACTTGACACAAACCCTAAGTCAACCCGTCTGGCCAGCGTGCCGCGTGATATAGTAGACCAATACCTCCTTTCTAAGGAAAGGCTTATGCCCAGCAGTGTACTATTAAAGGTTGTTGATGTGAATTGACTTCATATCTGTATAATTGGTTATTTTATACCTTCTGTCACAACTGACACCACACTTATTGCTTACCAGGCGTCCGTTCTCCATACAATAAATTCGATCTTTATGGCTTGGACACATTCCATCGAAAAGTGGTTTTAATGTATTTATGCATGGAGCCGCCCTTTCCTTAATTAAACGTTAGGTTTTATTACAAGGTGAGTCATACCGCAGGAGGGGCGGGAGCTCGTCGTTATGATATTTTACATTAAGATGTTGGCATAGAGCTGTCGCGTCGTACTAGGCGCACAGTGCTATCGCTCGCCTGCTGCCTTTTATTTTGTAACCCGCGTGGGTACCCCCCTGGAACCGTCACTGCACCAGGGTTTGCTCGCCCGCTGTCTGCCTCAACCTTATTATATATTTTTGTAATTTACCGTATCTGATGACCAAAATCTACTTGAACCTACTTTGAAAGTTATTAGTGTCAAGTACCTATCCTATAACATACATTTTCAACGTTTAAATACACTTTGTTTCTTCTGTCGTATATTGGGTACTACGCTTTGTCGGTACGGTGTGTACGGTAATGTCGATAATGTTAATTTAAATCAATTACGGTCGGCACGGTGTGTACGGTAATGTCGATAATGTTAATGTCAATCAATTTTTCGGTAAAAAATGTAACTATCCGATCCGTTCTAGAATAATTGAGTATTAAACATCCATTCAAATTCACGCATTAATAATAGCAGTAATAGCAGTTTTTTGTTCAACTTATCCGTGTGGTGACGGATTAAGAATACGGAACCACCCCTATTCCTCCCATTGGGTGTCCTAAGAGCCGACCAAGGAAGCAAACTACTTTGGAAAATAGCACTGCAAAGAGAAGAAAAACTTGACATAAACCCTGTACCAACTCGTCTGCCCAGCGTGATATAGTAGGCCAAAACCTCCTTTCTAAGGAGAGGCTTATGTCCAGCAGTCGATTATTAAATGCTGTTGATGTGGTGTTCAAGTTAATGCTATTCGTTTTACGAGTTCGTACTCATTTAGGTGTAAAAATAATTTAATTAATTCTAAAACAAAGTACCTTATCCATATTATGCAAATACTTGTAACTTGATTATTTGTGCTGTAATCTCATGTCTTCATAATTGTCTAATAATAGGTAATAAAGTCAAAGAACCTATTTAATGTTATTATTATACTGTATCGGATAGATATAAAGTATCGTAAAGTAGCGACCGCGAATGATATCCCGTGGAATAGAAAGCTATCGTCAATTATCTGATAAGGTACCACCTCCAGTGGTTGAGCGAGGAATTAAAGATATTGAAGAGTTACCAAACATGGCCGCCTTTAAATCATACAGCGCTAGAAATTTCAATATCGCCTCCGTTTCTTCTGATTTTCTCAATTCAATGTTAACATACTGCTCACAAAAAAAAGCAAAAAATTACATATACTTTTCATTATTATTTAATTACTACTGTAAAATTAGCTGTCAAAGTAGCTTTTGTCCGCAGTTTCGCTTTACTGACCATTTGTTCAATGATAAATATAATTTATTCTGGGATAAAATGTGTTTGCTGGACTATAAATATATCTCTTTTCCAAATTTCATCCAGATCCGTTTAGCCATTTTGTTGTGACTGAGTAATAAACATCCATCCAAGCTTTAGCATTGACAATAGTTATTTATCATTTTTTAGGCACGCAAGTGCCAAAATAAATAGTTGACAGAAGCGTTATGTTTGGTGGGTGTGGTTTATAAAACACATACATGAACAGCGCTTTGTTTATATATTTAACGCTTCGCATGGTGTGTGCGCTGTTATTAACCATTTTCTCTCGGCAAGTGAAAGCCGTCAGCGACAGGTGGAAGGGTGAAATGGGAATATGCCTTTTATAGATATTGTGTTACAGTTAGTACTAAGATGACATTTTAGTATGACAAACCACATCTCGCGGTGGTGTGGTTTGGTTACGTGACCGCGAGAGTCGATCCGAATTCTCTGTACCTGGGTTATGTGAATGAATGCATGACTAATTATTAGACAAGTTAAATAATGACCTCCAAAAATACTCCACAACATAAGCATTATAGAGTAGCCTTTCTATTTACAATTTTTTGTAATTTAGAGCTCTACCCCCATCCTGGCCATATTTGAGTATTTAATACGCCTCTAACTACGACTTTAGGCGTAAGTGCGTGTGTGCGTTGTTTGTGTGCGTACGTGTGTGCATGTGTATTTGTACAGATTATATTATTATTTAGCCCTACGTATGTACTAATTTATAAACTGAACGGGCTACACCGGAAAGAGTTTCTGACAAATTACTTCTTAGATACATTGCTAACTTGTGTGTATGTTTAGTGTGACTCTACTTGGGTCTTCCCAGAAGCGACAAAGTACAGTGCACAGTGGGACATACGCTATTAATTTAAGTTCACGTTAACCATAATTTAAGAGGCGCGTTATTATGTATCATGAAGGACCGTAACAAAATTCTTCTTAATGCGCATTATAAAAATTCACGCTCAACGCTCTTCATCTTAACACAGCTTCACAGCTTCCGATTGTAATTTTTCTGATTACTTTCAACATCTAACATCATACAGTGTACAAAAACACTTATAATATATACATAGGCAAATACAAAAAGGTAATATTAAATTTAACAGTCAAAAAATTTGAGCCACAGCCAAAAGACAAAATACGACCTATATACAAACAAATAAGCAATTTCTTCGTAAATTTCTATTCAGTCAGCCATGTTGTTTACCAATCTCTCAATCAGTCTGCCCGTAGCAATCTGTTTTCTGGAGCATAAATATTCATATTGCATATCGGAGATTGTGTTTCATGTTAGGTTTCTATTCAAATTGGATCCGAATTCGGAATTACGGATTATTTTACGTTTTTATGGTTAAGCCGATTTGATTAAAATATTTTTTGGCGCTTTTCTGTACGGCTTATACACGGTTGAGTGCATTATAAAAGCATTTTAGGAGAGGGGCAGTAAGAAGTTATTATACATTTTGACTGACCTGTTGATCTAGCACTACTGGTTTGCGATTAGACAAGGGCAAGTAGGGCGCCCTGCGGCACGATGGATCGACTACTTGAGGCAAATGGTTGGCAGCGGATGGATGCGGACCGCCCGGGATAGTTGGCACTTCTTGGGGAAGACCTTCGTTCAGCAGTGGACTGCGATAGGTTGATGATGATGATCTTGATCTAGTGGTTAGCTATTCTGACTGATAACTCAGAGGTTGTATTCCCACGGAGGACAAATATTATGTGATGTGCACAATAATTTGTTGTGTCTCGGTGTAATTTATGTACATGAGACGACCGTGTTTAAGATGTTAGTTATTTTATTTGGAACTTATTACTATTACATATATATTTGCACCTAAAAAATGATTTATACCCCCTATCCTCTACGCTTCACTCTATATGTATTGATAAATAACCATAAATTATGAATAAGCATAAAACAACAAGCAAGTTGTGCGAGGGCAGGTGTAACTTGCACTTAACAAAATGAGTGTAAAGTCAATATGAAGAAATATAACCTTTAAGGTTTCGTGAAGAAAATTGCTTTTTGTGATAAGACCGCCTTTTGTATACGACATTTTTCAAGTCATCGTGTTATTAGCATCATCTTTCTGTCCTTTGCCGGTTAAAAGGGGGTGAAAAGAGGGTGTGTATATACTTGCAAACGATTTGGCATGTATTCTTATATTACCGCCAACTGTCAAAGGTAATGTTATAGTTTTCAGACAGGATAAAACGTCTTCTCGTTGCATAATGGAACGAGAATTACGAATGGAACAGGATAAAACGTCTTCTCGTTGCGAATGCCGAAATGTATTTTTATGGCATGGCGATACCATAAAAAAAATAGTTCGGCATTCGCGTCGCATTGCTAAAAGTATTCGGTTCCTAACGTCAAATCACAATGCTCCGACAAATACTCTAATCAAAAAACGGTCAAGTGCTAGTTGAATTCGTGGTGAATTTCTTACGAAACTTCGTAAATTTAGCATGTTTTTTTTATTAGGATATAGAGAACCCTAAAAATAACTGTGTCACCATATTTTATTTTGTATAAATAGTGAGAAACTAAAGTTTTTAATCAAATAATTTAGTAATTGAATTACCAGTGAATCATATGAGTTAAATTGCAGTGTGAGAATTCGACAAAAAGCAGTGAAAAATAACAGCTATATTCTGAAAGTTTAGTGCGTATTAGGATACTATACATTTGTGTTTCGGTATTAAAGAATATTAGTTACTAAGTGTGACCAAAGCAATATCAAAGGGGAATTCCTCGTTAGTTAAATGCTGTTAAGATGTGAATATGGCGTTAATTGCGCCCAGGAACAGCGCACCTTACATCAGGGATAGCTTGAACACTCCAGCGTACGAGGTGAGTACCTAGCACTTATAAGTACAAAACCAGCACTTATAAGTTAATAATTATTCAAGATTCAGTTATTTAAACTTAATTGACAAGTTGTCGGTAGGCGTACGTTAATGCCATGGGGCATTCTCTTCCAGTCTACATTCGGGTGATATCAATGATATTTCAAATATAAAAAGAGGAAATCATTGGGTGATATAGAAATCTAATGCGATAGGTGCAAAGATTAAATTGATATTAAGTTTAAATGACGGTTCTAAATTAATCTGAATACTCCTCCTTTTTGCCTGCGTAGTGTTCCTTATAACTGATTGTCGTGTCCTCTACAAATTATTAGCAGCTTCAGCAGTATGTCTGACTGACAGAAATCCCATGTAAATGGTGGTTACTACGTTTCTATGTTCTTGTGTGACTTTATAACCAAGAAAAATAATGATCCGGTTACCATGGTTAATATCTTAAGAACTACATTGGTGATAAAACACACTTATATTTTTTAAATTAATTATATTCATCTCGATCATTAGCAAGTGTAATAATGCAGTGTTTTAGATAAAATTTTATTCTTTATATTTAGGCCAAAACCACCACCTATAAAAATCATACTAATATACATATAAAAATCTAGTAGGTATTTATGGTTAAAAAAATTCACGGTCGACGATTTAAATTGTCAGTGCGTAACAGATCTGTTTTGATGAATCTTCAAATGAAATAGATAAAAACACACCATTACAATACTTAAACATAAGTCTTGTATGAGGAAGACTTTTTTTGTTACTTAATATTTTTTTGTTACCTGATAAGTAACTTAAATGAATAATTATTTTAAACTTTATTATGAGTATCATAATTTAATGTTGCTACCATGTCGGATCTAAGTACAACAATGGGTTATATTTGTTGCAGCAAAGAAAACATTGCTTTTAATAAAATAATAGATGAACAGGATTTAAAAACACGTTAGATATTTTATGTTATTGTTAAATATAATTTTGCGTGTGTATCAGTGGCTTGACGGATGTTGAATTTTTGACTCCAAATACTTACAGGAATATTTATCTCTCGCATTCGCAAATGTGAATGCAATCAAAAGTTTGGCTTTTAAATTAAATCAGACTCAAAATATTTGAAAGTTTTGACATTTTGTGTTGATTTTTATTGATCCGAACTTTTTCAAAAAAGAAAGTTAAAACAACAAAGTTTTTCTAAAAATATATCGTCATAAATACGAACATAATATAAATATTGATTTTTATGTAAAAATAAATTTACAACTTTAATAAATTAACACATTGACACAACATTATTATTGTAATTTTGTCACTGTGCATAGCGTCTGACCTTTGTATGGGGTGCTTATGTAACCTTATTACATTAAGTATCTTAAATGATTACCCATTATTCCCATTGTTTTACTATGCGTGCGTGCGTACATTACACTACGTGTCGCCGGTTCGTAGTTTAAAAACTAATAATGTAATTAATGTCTTTGGGGTTTGGGTCTTTGGGTTCATCAAATGTGGTGTACTAAAAGTTAGAGGAACTTTCTCAGTTCCTTGCATTTATTTACACATTTTTACAAGGCCATCATCATCCTTGATGGAAGTCGAACAAATATATTTAAGTGAACCTCTTTATAGATTATACTTAAAGTGCTTTGATGTATAAAGTAGATTCGACTGAACTCCCAAAAGTAATATTACTTAACAACTTTCTTGCTCAACAAATTACTTAATATCTCACTCACAATGGTTGCTCGTCAAACGTGACTCGGTTATTTTTATCATAGCAACTTGTTTAGTATGCTATGTAGAATTAATTATATTCTCGTCACGGTAAGTTTGGTATAAGTTGGTATAGGCAAATCGTGGTCCTTCGAACAGTTAGTTCGAAGGAACACTTGATATTAGTGTTGCTAAGGCAATGTGAATGATAGTGAGGACTGATACAAAAAAGATCGACTTTGAGCAGATTTATGTATCTGTAAGCTATTAATATAAGTAGTGGGGTATCAAATATGATATCGTTACTATTTAAATGACAAATATTAATTAAATTGATGGATAAAATTTGAAAGATGCTGATTGTAGTTAAAAAATAAACTACAATAAACTTGAGATGCCTCGATACATACAGAAATTATTCAACACTCGAATCGTGAGCCAAAACACGGAATGGTGAGTTTAAAAAAGCTTCTATTTAATGACTGCACTATTGGCCTCAAGTAATCCTCCAAATTAAATAATAGTTAAGTCCAAAGAATTTTGATTAGTGCTTTGAAATTCTTAGCTGAAATATGCGTTGAACGCTGAACACTCATTGAGTTTCATATATAGGTTTGAGCGGTGTTGTGTTGTTGTATGGTCCCAACTATCTGCCGTGGTTCTAATGACCAAACCATCATACAATAGAAAATAACAAAAGGATATTAATATTCATCAACAATCTTTACTAGTCCACTGCTGGACATGCGCCTCTCCTTAGAAAGGAGGTTTTGGCCTATTATATCACGCTGGCCAGACGGGTTGGTATAGGGTTTGATTCGAGTTTTCCTTCTCTTTACAGTGCTTTTGTCCTGCGTAGTTTGCTCCCTTGGTCTGCTCTTACGACACCTACGGGATGAATATTGGTGGTGGTTACCACACGGATAATCTATATTATAGATTTATAGATATTTTAGATATGAATTACTTAAGCATTTAAATGTATAAGTGGCATACAATGCTGTGTTTAGCTGTTGTGTAGCGTTAGTTTTTATTTAGTTTCTTGTTTGTGTTTTTCCTTAACTACACTTTTTGTTCCACGTTTATAGATGTTATTACACAGGTAAGACAGGTATAAGTCTAGGATTAGGAGCGTTTATTTTTAACATTACGTTTATTTTTCATATGGAGAAAAATTAGTTCTTTTTTGTGAAATAGGAGCAAACGGGCAGGTGGCTCGCCTGATGGTAAGTGACTATCGCCGCCGACGGACGCCTGCGACTCGAGAGACACTCGGGCTGTATATTAATAATAATAGTAATTTTTCATTTTTCTCATTCATTCTTATGAAAATTTTAGCAGGTAACTCATAATGCATGAAATAAAGTAGAGCTAAAGTAGACGTGTATTTCTTTTATTTGGCTACATAATACGTCCCCTTACACATAATTAAAGATCATGGTTTTTTTAATTTTATTATAACATATAATTATAAGTCCATGATGTTTCAAAAGGCAGCTATAACACATCTTTATAACCAATATAGTCTCTCAAATAACATAAAATTACCATAAATATGTAGAAATGTTCAAAATAGAACCATATTTCATGACGATAACATGGCTTACGTCTGTTTGTCATGCTATTACACCACCGTAACCAATTCTTTAGCAACGTGGTCGGTAAAAATAATATTTGACTGTGTGTCTAACCTTTTTCTTAGTATGTACGGATTGTGTCCAATTGTGTTCCATCCAATCTCAGTCTCCCTTTCTCTATTTCTTTTGTCTCTTTCTCTCTCTTTGGTTGCCGCGCAAGGTGATGGTTCAGAAATCACCATAGGAATTAAGAAATAATTATCTTATCCTCTATTGGATTATATTTTCTACGTCCATTGTAAATAATGATTAATATTTTCTATATAAAAAGTATTTGTAACTCTATAAACGAAGTTACAATTAAAATTTGCCTCGCATTTTGATTTGAATCGATTCCAATATTGACCTAGCTTTCATCTGTTCTCAGACTTTATATTTCATACAATTCGTTCATCTTGTTAAATAATCATTTTTTGAGTCTGCTCTATTCTAAGGTGATGCGGTGCTAAGGCATTTGGTACCTTACCTGTGCTACCGTGATTGTAAAGTCCAACGACACCGATGTTGGATTTATAGGTAGGATTAGTGATTCAGATTTATTTTAATTTACTTTTCTCGTTCGAAGTATTCTATTTCATTTTAATACTGCACGAAATTTGATAGCGGATTACCTCTATCCTCGTTAACCAAGTAGTGCCTCCACCGATCAAACAACCGAAGTATAGTACAGGGGTAACGTAGGCGCTTTATGGTAATTAAAAGTAATCTTCTTGACCTGATATCATACGGTCAAGGACGAGTAGGGCGTCTGGGGCCTGTTGTCAGGGTGGTTTGTCAGTGGAAATACTGCATACAAGGAGTATCTCCTCCTCCTGCATAATCACGATAGCGTCCTACGGGAGCCAGAGATCCCAAGGCCACACCATCATTAAAGAAAGAAGATAAATTCTGAGAGTAATCTTTGCACGCCAGTACTCGGTTAGGATTCACATGGGTATCTTGTTAGATAGTAATTACGACACTACTATTACCGAACATCGACTTCACTTTTAACCATAACCTTTTCTTTCCTCGTCAGTACAATAAGATTTTAAGTATCTATTACTAAGCTTCAGACGTTATAAATGTTTTTATCGCCGTCGGCTACCTATCACACTCGAGACTTGAAACATAACCGGTCACGTCGAAACGGAAAGTTATCAGTTACGCGAATGAAAGTAAAAACTTGAAGAAAACCCACACAAGTTTGGTTTCTGATTCTCAACTTCAAAGGTCTCTGTATGCCCTAATAAGGTTGTTCTTTATACATTTCACATGATATCTGTATTTATAATAAAAATGTTAAATTGGTTTGTTTACGCTTTAAAAACTCAAAGTTCCCATGCTTTAAAGATTGTTTTTAACTAGTTATTCGCGTCACTTTCATTCTAATAATGCGATATATTATTATGATGATTGACGGAGATTTCATAAGCATGTTTTAAATTTTAATATATTAATTATATTGCTATGAAGAAAACATGAGTTGTATAATTTGAAAAGTAAAGTAATTCATATTTTAACACTGTAGAGTATGTTAATTTAAAATTTCGATGATTTAATATAGAAAACGGAGCCCATCTCAAAAGCTGGCTTGCGACAGTCGGTCTCGGTACTTGCGGTAGTTACCACCAGGTATTCCTTCTGCTCGTCTGCTTCATAT